AGGGAGGTACCTACACCCACAGTGTTTTAACTGTCACGCACACACATCCACACGCACACTCACTCATGTGCACTCACACATACACACAGGTATGCGCACACAGGCACACACGAGCACTCACATAGACACGAGGGAACGCGCACATGTAGGCATTCATGTGCTCGTGCACATAGACACAGACAGAGTTTGCAGCACACCATAGGGGGTTTTATGATGGGGTCCCGTCTATAAAACTGTGTTTCACAGACAAAGGGGTGAAGATTTTTGCAAAGGGGCACTGGCCTCGTCTTCCCTTCTAGAGGTGCATGGTTAAATGAAGATGAGTAAAGATGAATAAAGATTTTGTGAAAATGACTACTGAGTCCGGTGCCATCTCTGGATGCTCGAGGAATAAAAAGAACCAGGGTAAAACTGATTTCGCAACAAACTGCAGAAGGTCAAATCCACAACTACTGTTCTGCTTGGCTTAATAAACAAACTATTAACTACATGTGAATAAGCAGTATAGTTAGGAACAAATGCATTTTTCATTATAGCTTACCATGCACTTCTTTTAATCATACTTTATTTCACTAAAATGCACTAAAATCCAAAAACATAATAGATAAGAACAAGAGGGACAATAACAATAAGGCCATTCTGCATAATGAGCAGTTAAGCATGTTATGATGATTGTAGGGAAGCATTTTCACTGGGGAAGTGTGTTAAAAAGGGAAGCCTTTAACTGGATTTTAGTAATGTGATCAAGAACATTTCCCCGTTATTAGACTAAACCGTTAATAACAGAAAGCAGAATACATTTTTAAGTAAAAATAAACCCATGTATAAAAATGGGAATATATAAAACAGTACCCAGATGAACACGTTGACAAAAACATTTATGTTTACTGAAGAGGAAATATGGGGCAGCATGGTGGCGTGGTGGTTAGAGTTGTTGCCTCACAGCAAGAGGGTCTTGGGTTTGAATCCACTATCTAGATTTTTGCATGTTCTTTATGGTTTCTCTCCTGGTATTCTGGCTTCCTCCCACAGTCCAAAGATATGAACATTGTGGGGGTTTATTAATTGGTGATTCTAAATTGTCCTGAGGGGTAAATGTGAGTGCAGATGGTTGCCTGTCTGTCTGTGTTAGCCCGCCAACAAACTGATGACCTCTTTGTACCCTACAACTCACTCTATGCCACCACTCCTTGCAAATGTGTTTGCAAACCTCACCTACTTTTTCCACCTCTACATCCCTTCAGTGACAGATCTCATTTGTTTCAATCTGCAGAAAAACAGCGACTCCAAACATACACTAAAGATCTCAATATCCTCCAAGAGATGGTTTGCCTTTATCGCTAAACTCTCTACTGAGAAAAAATGATGCTGTTTGAATGGATCTAATTGATATAAAATGTTTGCATTGTTAACAAAAGTATATTTGAACACATCCTCATTGCATTCCTATTCCTGCAGGAGTTGTGTGATTTGTAGTGGTTTCAGTTGTTCACTGATGAACACTGAAATGTTAGTGAGGTTCACCTGCTGTATTTGTTGTGCTTTATAATAAGCATAAACCACTGATCACATGTGACAGGGCCAAAGCCATCAGCGCACTGTGAAACGGAATTTCCATTAAATTACAGTAAAACACTAACAACACAACCCGACATTCACTGTGATCACTCCAGTGTGCTGTATCAGCAGTAGGTTTTACAGTTTAAAAATAATGATCTCAACTGGCTCATTTCTACTTTTTTGTTTTACTGTAACATATAGTTGTATGACCTGATGCACATTTCATCACAAGTACTGAGAACTTCCTGCAGGATTCTTGCTACTGCTAGCTAAACCTGAAACACGGGTTTTGCCCACACAGTCACTGGAAACCACTTCACACAACAAAGTCTAAATGTCAAATAACTGTAACAACCATCAAAATAATGATAATGATAAACATCCATGAGTAGATGTATGTAGGTGCAGGCTCAGTACTTTTGTCCACGTAAGTATGAGCTTCACTGTCACCACTTTAGGTTGCTTCTAACTGAGCTGTACTGGAATTTAATTCCATAACTGCCAAGCATGCAGGAAGGTAGCACCAAAGGAGGAATTCAGAGCTATTTTAAGCTTGCAACACCAACGGGTTT